AATATTTTAATTGTTGTCAATTGAAAGTCCTGTAGTTTCTTTGATAAGAAATTTAAATGGAAAAAAATTTTATTACTGTTTTTTGTAGAACTTAATGAGGGGCAAACAGTACTCTAATCAAAACTCTTGCAATTCAATTTTGAATTATTTGAATTTTTTTTAAATTTCAAAGTCACGTAGTTTTTTAGGGTTTCGTGGCCCATGGCCGAAAGCTTTATAGTTTCACTTTGGCGTCCGTCTGTCCGTAGTATATTTTGGGGCACCACAGCTCCCAAATCAAATTTTAGGGCACAGATGCCAAATTAAAATTTTGGGGCACCACAGATCCCAAATTAAAATTTTGGGGGCCCACAGATCCCAAATTAAACTTTTGGGGCACCACAGATCCCAAATTAAAATTTTGGGGCCCCACAGATCCCAAATTAAACTTTTGAGACACCACAGATCCCAAATTCGAATTTTGGGCAAACATAGCTTCCAAATTCGAATTTTGGGGCACCACAGATCCCAAATTAAAATTTTGGGGGCCCACAGATCCCAAATTAAACTTTTGGGGCACCACAGATCCCAAATTTAAATTTTGGGGCCCCACAGATCCCAAATTAAACTTTTGAGGCACCACAGATCCCAAATTCGAATTTTGGGCAAACATAGCTTCCAAATTCGAATTTTGTGGCACCACAGATCCCAAATTCAAATTTTGGGCAAACATAGCTTCCAAATTCGAATTTTGGGGCACCACAGATCCCAAATTAAAATTTTGGGGCACCATAGCTCCCAAATTCAAATTTTGGGGCCCCACAGATCCCTAATCTCCATTTACTGAATGGGCATTTTCCCGAATGGACATTACATGTCCCATTAGTTAACATGCCCCTATAATTAACATGTCCCAGTAGTTCATCTGTCTCAGTAATTGACATGTCCCAATAGTTGACATGTCCATATAGTAGACATGTCCCTATAGTTGACATGTCCCAGTAGTTGACATTAAAATTTAAAGCGCCACGAAACCCTAGATGTAGGCGCAATTGCGCCTAGTTCTTTTCCCATTTTTTAATTTTAAGTTTAGAAAAAAAATGTAGGTGTGTTTTTTGTAGAACTTAGTGGGGGGTAAACAGAACACCCATCAGAACTTAAAGAACACGTAATTTAAATATTTTTTTAAATAAAAAAAATTTTCGTACAGAACTATTTTAGATAAAAAGGAGAAATCTAAAACTCTGTTAGTACTATTCAGAACTCTAAAAAATTTTGATTTTTTTGAAAGTGAAGGGGTTAAATGTAGATTCTGAAAATAGTAAATGCACTTTTTTTGATTTTGAATTGAGAGTAGAATTTCATAAGGATAATTTGTAGAACTCTTGATGCAGATGCCAGAACTCTAATCAAAACTCATGTAAACTCAAATTTTTGAAAAAAATTTTCAGAAATTTCAAAGTTCAGCTTTTTTTTTGATTTTGAATTTGGAGTAAACTGTTATAAGAATAAGTTGTAGATCTCTTGATAAAGATGCCAGAACTCTTCTCAGAACTCCTGAAAACTCAAATTTTCGAAAATTTTAAAGTTTAGCACTCTTTTTGATTTTGAATTTAGAGTAAAATTTCATAAGGATAAGTTGTAGAACTCTTGATGAAGATGCCAAAACTCTAATCAGAACTCATGAGAACTCAAATTTTTTTGAAAATTTTAAAGTTCATTTTTTTTTTAATTAAGAGTAAAATTTCTTTTAATGAAGATGCCAGAACTCTAATCAGAATTCATAAAAACTCAAATTGAAAAAAAAATTTCGAAAATTTTAAAGTTCTGTACTTTTTTTTATTTTAAATTTAGAGTAAAATATAAGAATAATTTGTACAACTCTTGATGAAGATGCCAGAACTGTTATTAGAACTCATAAAACTCAAATTTTTGAAAATTTTAATATTCAGCACTTTTTTTATTTTGAGTTTAGAGTAGAATTTCATAAGAATAATTTGTACAACTCTTGATGAAGATGGCAGAACTCTTATCAAAACTCATAAAAACTCAAATTTTTGAAAAAAATTTTTTTTTAAATTTTAAATTTCAACACTTTTTTTTATTTTGAGTTTAGAGTAGAATTTCATAAGAATAATTTGTTGATCTATTGATAAAGATGCCAAAACTATGGTCAAATCAACTAAAACTTTAAATTTTTTAAATTTTGCAGAACTATTTTTTGTTTTATAAGAGAACTCTAGAACTCTGTATTTTCTATCGGAATAATATGTCAGCACTCTTTTTTGCGAAAATTATAGTGCTGGGTGAAGTTAGCACCTTATTTTTTTAATATCATGTTTTCTGGTCAAAATTTACGGAACTATTGAATTAAAACTTATAGAACTCTAGAACTATTGATAATCTACCCAGAACTTATTGTGGATTTTTCATTTTTTGAGATTTTGGTGCCAACTTCACATGACTTATTGTATTGCATTTTTGAAGCCATGTGCAAAAGAGAGAGAAAAAAATAAAACATGTGTTTAAAGGGATTTTTAAATGGCTTGTTTAGACGTAGCGATATCCCGTAGTGATTGACACTAAAGAGTCAAATATCATTGGTGCCTTTATGTTTATGAAGGATCGTAAAATAGAATTTTTTTTTTTTTTTTTTTTTTTTTTTTTTTTTTAATTTTAAGGAATTACTTGTGAATGTGTGTTGAATTGTTTATGTCGGTGTTAGGAGATTTAAATTTAAGGAACGTTAAAGAATTTTTAAGATAGTGGTTTATAAGTGTTGGGGGTGGTGGTGGTGGTAAATTATATAATAATATGGTATATTATGTAAAGTGTGTTTTATATATATATATATACAGACATATATATGTGCAGAAAAAAATGAATTGTTTTTGCAGGACCCAACCATTCTAGAACAAACCAACTTTTACAAAAAAAGAATGTTACTGGAGATGACACACATTGCCAGTGATGATAAAACAGTTAACGAAAGAACCGATGTTAATAACTTATCATCATTTTATTTAGCCATTCTCTCCAAAAATAGAAATTTAAATTCACAGTAAAATACAACATACTCTCACTAAACAATTCATTTTTTTCTGCACATATATATGTCTGTATATATATATATATAAAACACACTTTACATAATATACCATATTATTATATAATTTACCACCACCACCACCCCCAACACTTATAAACCACTATCTTAAAAATTCTTTAACGTTCCTTAAATTTAAATCTCCTAACACCGACATAAACAATTCAACACACATTCACAAGTAATTCCTTAAAATTAAAAAAAAAAAAAAAAAAAAAAAAAAAAAAAAAAAAAAAAAATTCTATTTTACGATCCTTCATAAACATAAAGGCACCAATGATATTTGACTCTTTAGTGTCAATCACTACGGGATATCGCTACGTCTAAACAAGCCATTTAAAAATCCCTTTAAACACATGTTTTATTTTTTTCTCTCTCTTTTGCACATGGCTTCAAAAATGCAATACAATATCATAAAGTTTTTCTATATCACAAAAAAGTATACAAAACCTCCCAAAAACTCAGTATCCTCGGAAAAGTCGAGGCGAAAGCATTTAAAGAATTTTGTCTTTTCGTCAAAATTATTATTAATTGATACTTCTCTCAAAAATAAATAAATAAAATAAAATGTGTAAAATATTTGAAATATATGTGTTGTGCAGTGTTACAACTAATTGGAATACATTCATACTATGCTCCAATAGTACCACTTCTATCTACATTAAACTTTCTTCAAACATGTGATTGTAAGTTGCAAATTGTTGGCAAGGAATTTCTTCTTTGGATATAATTTTCTATTATAAATTCAATTAAAAATTTTTTTATATAAATCTATTATTTATGAATTCGACGTTATTTTTATTTTATAGTTTATACTAATTTCATATTTTGTAACAACTAAATTAAAATATGGACAATATCTAAATTTTGAACATTACTCTACAGTTACATTTGTACTTATCATTACAGATACTTTAATAAATATTCACTGACGAAGGCACACATCAGTTGCCGAAACGTATGAAATAAAGGAAAAGTTTTGTTCTTTTTTCATAGAACCCTCATGCCAAAGAACTTAGAAATACATTAAATTAAACTAAGGGTTCAAGTAAAAAACATCATAATGCAATTATAATATTAAAATTGATCAGACTTTTTTTCTAATTATATATCCTTGATTTCAGAATTTGTATGTTGGATGTGTGAAAATTGATATTCTTCATAAATAATTGGTGTATAGTATCTTCTTTTTTTTTTAAAAAAAAAAAAAAAAAAAACATTGAAGACGGAGAAGTCATATTATATACACATAATAAACACAACGTTCAAAGCGCCTGTTATGCTTGCCACATGTTCATTGTTTATAAAGTTCGTAGTCTGCTGATTGCTCAGTCATTGAAGTCTTCATATAACTATGTATTAAAGGATGTTGCAGAATTCTTCTTCACTTATTTACAATTACCAGTTTATAACAATGTACAGAGAGATGTGAGAGAGATGAAAATAAAAAAAAAAAATCTTGAAAATGTTACATTAATCCTCGGATATCTGACGTTAGCAATCAGAACTTGGATAAATTGAACTGATTTATGGAATCAAACCTTATAGCTATATTTATTACATTAAACTTTATTTTTATATATTTATTTACTGTATATTATAAGAAAATATTTCTATTTCAATAAAATATTGTCTTGATTACACAATAATTAACTAATAAAAATAATCAATGAATAAAAAAATAAATGAAATAAAATAATTGAAACAGTTTTATAATAAAGACGGATCAAAAAAATTATTTTTCCTCATAAAGAAATATTTATCAAAAATTATATGGTTAAAGTTTCTCATGAACGATATTTTAGTATTTATATTTTTATTTAGATAAAAATATTTTAGAAGATTTGAATTTTGAAATTATTTTCATTTTACAAGATATTTACTATAATTATTTGAAATTTCATTTTTTTTACAGACTGCACTTAGTATATTTTTTCAAGAGGCTGCGATACCTTCTTGTGCCCAGGGGCCAGGTACACATTTTGGACAGGTGAGTTTAAAAAAAAAAAAAAATTTATTATTATAAATTATTTCTAAATGTGAATAACCATTTTCAATCGATGTTACTACCTACTCTCGGCAAACTATTTCCGTATCGTGATTTCCCTCTCTAACCTCGAGACCTAAAACGACCATAACGTATAATATAAATTCATAACACGTGCAAATGTTTCCAAATTACATGTATAAAATTTTATATATAAAGACAAAAAGCGTTACACTAAATATTTTAATTCTATAAAGCGAAAAAAGTATAATTTACAATTCAGTGAAATAGGTATTTCTTTTCTGAACGTAAAAAAAAATTAGTAAATTAGTTTTTCCAACTTTTTCAAATTTTTTAATAGGAGAGTACATATACAAATTTTCAACTATATCAACTATTTATTAAGAAATTATTTTTAAAATTTAACAAAATTATTATTAAAGTAATTTTTTGCAAGGAATTCCAATGGTGATAAAATAAAATGAGTCAAAAAAATTTTTATATAATATAATGTTATTCTTACGGGGAAGAAAATTTGTTTCCACTTTCATCAATTTTATTCATACTTTGAACATGGAAAACGCTTGTTGACTTCTAAAAAAAATAAAATTTGTGTTGATAATTAATTTTGTTATATATTTGATTCAATTGCATTGATAGATTCTCTGAATTCGTGATAAAATATAAATATAGAGGTTAGAAAAGTTTGTTTACTAATCACATTTTACATTTTAACATTATTAAACAATATCCAGTATGCATGTTATTAAAAAAGATATAAAATATATATTTTAAGTGGGAATTACCGCAGCAGTAAAAGATTTCAAGTTAGTAAACAAACATCCCTAACCTCAAAATTTATATTTTATCACGAATTCAGAGAATCTATTAATGCATTTGAATCAAATATATAACAAAATTAATTATCAACACACATTTTAATTTTATTAGATGTCAACAAGCGTTTTCCATGTTCAAAGTGTGAATAAAATTGATAAAAGTGGAAACTAATTTTCTTCCCCAAAAGAATAACATTGTGTCGTCTGTTTGTTGTCCCTCCAGGCTTCTGACGTCACACCTAGAATCGACTCTGACGTCACAAGTTGCAAAGCCTAATATGCACAAAAAATTCAGTTACTACCCAACTCTGCTTTCGTGCAACAATACAGACGTTGAGTTGTAATTTCCCAGTTCTGATTATTTACGTACTGTCGTCAGCTATCACTTGTATTAGTCAAAGATATTTTTATTAATAGACAATAATTATAGGCGAAATATTTCCACGTGCAATTACTTATTTATATAAAATTTATGGATTTAATAAGTTAAGTGTCAAATTACTAATATTTTTATTAAAATTAAACAGTTTACTCAAATATGACATCCATTTTTCTAGTAATATTTTAGTAACATTTTTATCCATCACAAATTTGTCCTTTCACCTGTATGCTAACGACTTTTATCCTCTATCTTTACAACTTTTTACCCACCTTTTTTTCTGTGTAAGGGAATAGGATTTCGAGTATTTCTATTTGCTATTTTTATCATTAAAAATAGGTTTATTGAAATTATTACAACAATGCATTACTCATAAACTTGTAGATGTGTTTTTAGCATCAGTATTTGTCGGAAATTGATATAGATAATCCTTTTTATCGAAATTAGCGCCTAATTAACTAAAAAATCAATTAAGAATAATAATTCTAATTAGCACAGAAAAATGCGTCTTTTTTTTACGAATCCAACGGTATAAAAAACTCATTTTCCATAAATTATGTAGATACTGTCTTTTTAAATCAGGACGACAGTCTAGAAGTATATTGTAAAATGGAGCAGAAAATAAAAATTTGTAAACTTTTGTTTTGCCAACAATAAAAAATCAAATTTCTATTTTAAGACACGTCCTCATTTCATTTGATGCAAGTCATCGACAATAATGACAATTGACGATCTTATCTCTTCATTCGTTCTCGGCACAACTCCAAAAATGTTACCTAGAATTCCAATTTTTGGAATAGTGCCTGTTTCTCTATATATGTCTTGACAATAAAGTGTCAGAGCCCCTGATATCCATTGTTGACTCTCGTCGCTGTATATATAATAATAATAATAATAATTATTATTATTATTATATGAAAAATAGAGTACGCTACACTATCATAATTCTCAATGATCCAGAATGAATGTGACATAATGAGATGCTCAAGCGTAAAATTCTTCCTTGTATATACGCGATGTTCATACACAAGATGATGGTATTAACGAACTTCCTCATTTTATATATGAGAGAAGCTTTTGTGGCGGAAGCGCAAAATGTTATGGGAAATTAACATTCAAGGATGACGCAATTCTGGTTCGAGGCCATAAGCTCTTGGGGTAAAAAGCAAAATATCATCGGCAAAGCATAATATAACGTTCCCCAAGCTCTCTCTCTCTCTCTTGTTGATGTGAGAAAATCGATGGCGCGTGTTTGACCCTGCAATTTCCCCTCTTTTGTTTATATTATTTAATTCAATTTTCGTATATATATATTAATTATTAATGTTCGAAATTTTAATATTTTATTTTTAATTTGAAAATAAAAGATGAATATTGTTTTCTATATATAAATCAAGGAGAGATTTTCATTCAACATTTTTTTTTTCCAAATCTTTATGAAAAATAAAAAAATATGTATTTTTTTATTTGATAAAAATTATGGAATTTTTTTATTGTTTTTAAAAAAACATCTTTAGAAGCAAAGTACTTTTTAAATGCGTTTTTCTCTATTCTACTACCCGTGTGGAAAAGTCGACTGGGCCCCAATCTGGGCCAGACTGGGTTTCCCATTGTCCAAAGTGGGCAACCCAGACAACGCCCAAACTGGGCGCGTAACGCTGATCCCAAAGATTTCCCAAGGTTGAGAAATCCCAGCTGGGGCCAGATTGAGTTATTCCATTTTTATTTATAATTGTTAATTAATAATTATATAAATAATTTAACAACAAAAGAGTAAATTAAATGAATAAATATAATATCCTTTTAAATTAAATTGTATTAAAGATGACGACTAACAAACAATGTTTTTTGTATAATTGTTCAGCATATTATTTAAATAATAATTTAATTAACTTAATTCTTTTATTTCTTCATTTTTCAAACTTTGGAAAGCCAAATTGGGCCTAGATTGGCGCCCAGTCTCACTTTGGGCGACTTTGGGAAGATTTCCACACGGGTAAAGTGATAAAAAAATAAGGTAAAAGTACCCATTATGGGACAATTTATAAAATTTCACCTATTATGGGACAAACTTGGAAAACATTAATTTGAGACCTGAACATTAAAAAAAGTAAACCGAAAAATATTTTCCTTAATAAAACACATATTTTATTTCACAGAAATAAAATAATATATGAGCTAAAAATTGATTGAAATTTTTAAAAAAATTAGTTTATTGCGTAATGTCAAAAAATAGAAAACATCGTTCATGATTTCAGCAAAATTTCTTAAACCCTGTGACTTATTATTGATTTGTTCTGCAAAATTAAGACTATAATGTGTTATGTATAAGTGATCAAACAATTCGTTTTTTATTCTAGAATCTATTTCAAAAATGACATAATTTAAATTTAATTAATTTTTTGAGAAAAATAAGTGTCTTATAATAGGTTTATAATTTTATACGTGTCTGTAATTATGGGACTGCAAAAGGCTTTGTCTCAAATCAAGGTACACTAATTTTAAAACCCTGATCCTATTGTGGGACACGTCCGTTTGTTGATTTATTTAAAGAATCTCTCATTATAATTTTTCTCAAGGATCATTGTTTATTTATTTTAATTATACAATATATAAATAAACAATAATAAATAATTAAAAGTTAAAAATAATTAATTGAATCCAACATAACCTCCAAATATTGTTTGCACACAATTTAAGCTGTACTTGTTTATATATTTTATGTAAATTAGTACAAAAAATGACCGCTAGAGGACAGCAGCAGACGGCTCATAAATTTTTTTTATTTTTATTATAACCGTATATTATATTAAATATTTAATTTATTGTGCGCACAAGTGAAAATACAACTTAGTACCATTATAATTATGCAAATTAATTGACATTATAGTAACAATTTGTTCAGTGTCCCATAATAGGATCCGCATTGATAGGACAAAGGTGCACTATAAAATTCATGTCTCATAATGGGTACAAATTTTTTATTTACAATTTTATCAATAATAATTTATCATTACAACATAAAAATGCTACCAAAAACACTGTTTTAACAACTAGAGACATACACAATTCTAATGCAGCAAAAAGTTTCTTATTAGTTTTTAAAATAATGGTTCAAATACACTTAATCTCAAAAACTGTCAAGCAACCGTCCCATAATGGGTACTTTTACCTTATTAGGTAATTCGAAAAACGTACGTAAAGAATATAAATGTCAGGTCAATTAATCGTTGACTTTGAGTTTTTAAATATTTTTTTTTTAATATAAATTTTTTTATTTCATATTTTAAACGAATATATAATAACAACGAATATTTTAAACGAAGATTTCATGAGACATTATTGTTAAAAAATTAAGAGTTGAAGTAAGCGTCGAAGATGCGCAGAGTACGTAAAGTACTACTTTTGAATGCAGTACAGTTCTTTACGTACTCTGCGCATGCGCAATCACTTATCAGTTACAAGAAGTCATTTTATGTACTAAAAAATAAATAATTATTAAATTAAGTATATTATACTCATTTTTAACATCAAAATGCATTATTTTTTTATGAATAGTTGATAATTTCATTCACGTGAATATTTGAAATTTTATTGAAATATTATTATACGATGATGTTCACATTTATTTGTACAACCAATATTTGCGAGGTCGAATCATTCCATTCTTAAAAACGTCAGAATGAGTTTTTAAAAGAGTTAAATTTAATCTAAAAATAGAAAAATTACGACGTGACATTCGTCCACGCTTTCATATACAAATAATATATATATATATATAATTT